CGCCCAGCTGATTTTTTGATTTATTGTAGAGATGAGGTCTCGTCTGCCCAGGCGGGTCTCAAATCCGCGGACTCAGGCAATCCACTCACCTCAGCCTCCCAAAGGTGCGAGATTACAGGCTGAGCCACCGAGCCCGGCTCTCCATCTCTTCCTCCAGGTCCACTTCATCTCTTCCTCCAGGCCCAATCCCCTCCACCCCTTTCCTTTTTGAGTGAGGGTCTCACTCTGTTGCCCAGACTGGGATGCAGTGACATGAGTATAGTTCACTGCAACCTTAATCTTCTGGGTTTAGGCAATCCTTCTGCCTCAGCCTCCTGAGTACAGGTGTGTGCCATCATGCCTGGCTAATTTTTAAATGTTTTGTATAGACGAGATTTCGCTATTTTGTCCAGGCTGACCTCAAACTCCTAAGCTCAAGTGATTCTCCCACTTCAGCCTCCCAAAGTGCTGAATTACAGGCATGAGCCACTGTGCCTGGCCCTGGTTCAAACCCTTTTATGTTTAAAGTCTTCTAGCTGGCCCCTATCTTAAGCCACCCGTTCCCCTCCGCCACTCACCTCCCAAGCCTTTCTCCACTTGGTATTGATCACCTCATGCAGTTGTTCCCCATCTCACCCACTAGACGCTGAGCAACATGGAAGGGTCTTTAGACCCTGTGGCCACAGCAGCTGCTCATGCAGGGGACTGCGGTCATGGGCCCAGGTGAAGGGGGTGGGACGGATCTTGGGTCTGGACTCAGGCTGGGAGGTCAAGACCCTGCTGGGAGACCCCTAGGAAAATCCCCTCTGAAGTTGGGCTCTTGACACCAAACTAGAAGAGTGTTCCTTTCCTCATGGGAAGCAGCTGGAATTCATAGCTACTTCTACTATCTATTTTAGCTGAGCGAGGTGCCTGGGGTCTCTGTGGCCTCTTCTTAAAGATCCAGAAAGAAGAGAACATGACACTTCCCATTGAAAATCACTTTTGTTCATGACCAGCCTGGGCAACTTGGCGAGACCTTGTCTGTACAATAAATAAAAATTAGCCAAGCATCGTAGTGTGTACCTGTAGTTCCGGCTACTTGAAGGTCTGAGATAGAAGGATTGCCAAAGCCCAGCAGGTCGACACTGGTGTGGCCATGAGTGTGCCACTGCACTCCACCTTTTTTCTAAGTGAAAACTCAACTTAGAAAAAAAAAAGAAAGTCACTTTTGGTCAGGTGTGGTGGCTCATGCCTGTAATTCCTTGGGAGGCCAAGGTGGGAGGATCACTTGAATCCAGGAGTTTGAGACCAACCTGGTCAACTTAGTGAGAACTTGTCTCTACAAAAAAAATCCAAATATTGGGGCCCAAAGGGAGGCAAAGTGAATACTGTATACCTAATCCTGAATTGTACCCATCTTAAAAACATTTAAAAAATCAAAATATTAGCTGGGTGTGATGGTGCACACCTGTAGTCCCAGCTTCTTGGAAGATTGAGGCGGGAGACTTGCCTGAGCCCAGGAGGTTGAGGCTACAGTGAGCCATGATTCTGTCACAGCACTCCAGTCTGGGCAAGAGTGAGACTCTGACTCAAAAAAAAAAGTCACTTTCAGGCTGAGGTGGGAAGATTGTTTGAGGCTAGGAATTCGAGATCAGCCTGGGCAAAATAGCAAGACCTCACCTCTACAAAATATTATAAAAATTAGCCAGGCATGGTGGTGCATACCTGTAGTCCCTGAGATGGCAGAATTGCCTAAGCTTAGGAGGTCGAGGCTGCACTCCAACCTGGTCGACATGGGGAGACCCTGTCTCTAAAAAAAGACTTTCTCCTACATCCTATATGTCCTGCTTCTCATGGAGAAAAGGTAGCTGTGTCTGTGATGGACTAAATCATGCCCCATCCCAAATTCGTCTGTTGAAGCCCTCATTCCCCGTGTGACAGCATTTGGAGACTGGGCCTTGAAGGAGGCAATTAAGATTAAATGGAGGCCAGGTGCAGTGGCTCAAGCCTGTAATCCCAGCACTTTGGGAGGCGGAGGCAAGAGCATTGCCTGAGCCCATGGGTTTGAGACCAGCCTGGGCAACTTGGCGAGACCTCGTCTTTACAATAAATGAAAAAATTAGCCAGGCATGGTGGCGCGCACTGTAGTTCCAGCTATTTGGAAGGCTGAGGTTGATGCTGGGATAGCCATGAGCGTGCCACTGCACTCCAACCTGGGCAATGGAGTGAGGCTCTGGCTCACAAAAAACAAAAAAGATTAAATGAGGTCTGTGGAGCCCTAATCCAATATGGTTGGTATCCTTTTTTTTTTTTTTTTTTTAAGTTGGGGTCTC